GCCCCCTTTACGACCTGAGCCCAATTACTAGCCACCTGGGAGTCGGCACTCGACGCGCTGTCAAAGGACGAAAGGGCCACCCTCCCAGTAAAGTCCGGAAGGCTGGGGAACCCCCGGAGTGCCTCCTCCACCCTAACTACCCTCGCCACTAAATCATCCCTCTGTACCTCGCCCACCTCCTTCCTGATCCCCCTAATCTCCTCCTCCACGCTAATGAGCCTTCCCGATAGCTCCCCTAGTCGCTCCTCCAAGCTACAGACTCTGCATACCTGGCATACCTCTCGTTCACTAGTCCCACCTACCCAATCCCCGCAACGAACGCATCTACACATCCTAGGCATCTTACTTAATGTTATTGATCCCTATTGACACTCCTACTGCTTTAGACTTATACTTTGCAGTACTTCACACTAGTTGTAACCCGGTAAGACTGTACTGTCCTAGTCCTTGTAGTAAAAGGAATACTACGAGTAATGAGCTAATATTCAATACTTAAAGTAATTAAGCTGATTGATACTGATCTAATGTGAAGTTGGAGGTAGCTATCAGAAAACTTATGAATACTGCTACAAAGTAGCCAGGTAACAACTAACTCACGACTTAGCTGACAGAACCTCGAGAGTATCCTCCAACACGTCCTCACGCTACGAACGCTCAACCAAGACTCGAACTTGACTTAGACAAGAACTCGACTTGGTCTAGGTCACGGGTGACTAACTCGATTACGCTGTCGGGCCAGATGGAACCATTCAGAGGTGGTTGAGTCCACATTAGCAAGTTTCACACATAATTTTGAAATGTTAACAGGTTGAAAATGTCTACGCTTTTCCACAGCCAACTTTTGAAGAGGACTTCATTCGACTAGTTTATTTATCGGGTTGCTCGGACTAAGCAACTGTTCTTTTAGTCTAGTTCCATGTCCAATATGAGCTTTTTCCGGAGGAATATATTCCGGTAAATATCCAGAATTTCATAAACTTAAGTCCTCCTCCGTTCTTTAACGACTATGAACGTAGGCTTTAACAACATCCACATACTACACAAACACTTTTAAAGCAGGAAATTTATTTAAGTGAAAACATTTGGAATTAAAGTAGGATATTTAGGTTCATATGGTATTCAATGAATTTAACCTTTATTTTAGGAGCTTTAACGCTATGCAATTCGACAAATTTCGAATAAAAGGTTCATTGTTTCCTTCTCTCACAATATCATGTTGATATTGTGAAAGAATCACATTGATATATCTGGAAGCTTTCATGTCTCGAAAGTCATGTAAAATCCGATGGAAGATTCAGACGCCTTGCATAATATGAAAGAATCCATTGCCATTCCCCCTAATCCCACGCGAATCCCAGCCTCTTGAGACAAAGGGAAGCAGCCGCAGTCCTCGCCTCCTTCTTGCTCTTGCTCGGCTGGCTCGGTTGATACGTCTTCTTGTTCGCCACCACCTGGGAGAATTTTGCAGCCGTATCTGCCATGCCATTCACGAGAGAGAGAGAATTCCATGGAAAATAACGTCAGCGTTGCGTTGTACCTTCACCAGGAACATTCTATTGTGCGGCTCCCCGCTTTCCTTCACGTCAGTATATTCGGGAGGGTTCCAAGAATTCTTCTCACAGAGTTCCTTCAATGCCTGGACTGGGTTCTTCTCTATATGGAAAGGAGAGCAAAATTCACAAGACATTCCTATTAATGCAAGCTCAATGGGAGACCTGAAAATATGTCATATCTTCCATTATCCTTCCACTCAGGCCTAAGCCCGTTTTTAGTACTCCCTACAAAGAAAGGAATCATCATGCTACAACATGTTATGAAGACCTTGGAGTCTCTATGTATGAATTCCGTGGTCTCCCTACTGAATCAGAATGAGAGGGAACTGATGGACTGCGATTACCATCTAGTACCTTTTAGGTCGTTCGCCAGTTAGGGCATACTAAGCGGTCTCTAAACGACGCTGGCGAAGTTCATTCGTTCCTAACCATTGCAATATTTGGGAGATTTTGTGCAAGATTGCGATTAGATTGCGGAAGGACTTCGTATTGTCTATTTTTGAATGATGGCAATGTGGATGAGTTGAACATTAAAAATTGGGTAGGTCTAGGTACACGCCTCTTCTAAAAAAAACTTTAGACCGATGGTCCCTGCGAGTTCTGTGATATGGGGCTGGAAAGGAATGTCGATTATTGCTTATTTCCGTGATCATAACGGGGTCGGAGAAGGAATGAAGAGAAAGCGATCGATGTTCTGATAGCTCCAACAATTCATGAAGCACAAGCCTTTCCGCACAAAATGTATCAAGTCAAAATCAATAAGATGCGAGAAACCTTGAAGGAACGAAGTCAGGAACCGGAGCCTTTTCCAAGTGGCAATAAAAAGCCAATTCCTGAAGTGGTTGCTTGTAGTATAGTCCGTGTATTCATGCGTCCAAATTAGAGGACTCGGCAAGAACTTTTCCATGAGACTGAAAGTTCTCAAAAAGCAAACCCTTCAAACGCTAGAAAGATTGCGCTGAAAGGACAGAATTACAGTTTCATTGGTGCAGCTGAAATTCTGGCCCCTCTGACCTTCCAGACACTCCCAGACCTTCCCATTCGCAAGATACATTGTTCAGTGGAAACCTTGAGGTACGTCTGCGGGTGAAGAACATGGTGCAACGAACCTTGTGGCCCGTTGGCCTTAGGAGCGACTGCGCACGCTCCTGTCGACGCCGTGGCTGTTTTGCTCGGTCCAGCTGCTGGTTTAGGAACAGTTTTCCCTGGCGTTGGCTCCTTTTCTGACTTCATCGAATCGAAAGCACTCCCATTATTTCTCTTACCCCATTCTATCATAAAAGAAGCCATAGTTTTCGAAGGGCCAATTTATTGATACATCTGGAAGATATCTTTATTGATATATATATTCCGCTGGAGGTAAACCTCAAGCACCTTTGTGTTCTGCTTGATCTTGACTAGAAAAGCTACCCGATTTTAAACCTTCCAAATGATATGATTGACTGGGGCCATACCCTGCTCCATCCTGTCAGCAAGTTGCAAATGCCGTCGTCGCCGGAGGCATTTGAGGAACGCGGGGAAGGCATGGTCCCCCCGACGAGGCAGGGTCTCCCGCAGGAGGAGCAGCTTCGTCTTGATGGGCTGCGGGATCACCTCGATGAATTCGTGGTGCTCGATGATGCCCTCGGCGTTCAGGTCTTCCAAGATGGCATCTAAGTCGATGAATTTAAGTTCGTCTGCGAACTTGGCGATGACGTCGGCAACAGCTCGCATGATTTACCCACTGCATCGACCTAATCAGCAAGGAACTAAAAGAAAAAACCAAGTCAGAAGTGCTCAGAGAAGTTCAACCGATCGACAATGTTCGATGGAAGCCTCAAGAGTTCAACGGCTAGATAAAGGAATAGCTATTAATAGATTCTTCAGAATCACCAGGTCAAGTCAAAGAATAGCACTTAGACTCTAACACTGCCATGAATTGGATCCTGAAAATGGATTGTACAGGCAGAAACAGACACCAAGGAACGGACTAATATTGGCGAGACAGTCCACTCACCTGTTGCTGAGCGGAACAGCAGCTGGTGGCATTCACTCCTCACAGCTCCAGTGTCGCCAAGGAGGAAAATAAGATAGGAGGAAAGGCTCACACGGCTATCAGTCTGATTAGATTAGCCCGTCTTGCAACTGTTCATGTACGTGAGGTTCTCCTCACATCACGTTTTCCACTTGACGCAATCAACTTATATGAATTATACCTGATCCATGAATATTTATAAAAGAATGAAAGGCAGGTTCATTGCTTGAGATTCGCATCTCCGCATCTCAAGTGTGCAGATCAGATTCGCATGTGATAATTTAATTTCTAGATTTCGTTTCTGATTGATTTATTTGTCAAATCTGGCTAGTCTCGTTAAAAAATTGCATTTAGCTGGCCATAAGATCTACTCATCCATTAGTTGTAATGATATATACTGCATGTTTCGGATTAATTCTGTTCTTTGTCGCCTTCCAAGATGAAATTCGCGATGGAATAACGTGCCCTTCACGATCATACTCGCGTATTCAAGGTGTATTCAAGTACTGATTACAGAAGGGGAAACCACAATATGACATTAAAGAATGCTGGTCCTCACCTGCCTTTCCGCTTTCTTCAGCAATCTCTTTCTCCCTTGTTGGGTAGTGTCATTTCGTTCCCGCTCATGGAAGACAAATATCTGGTGGACGAATGATGTCCAGCATTATTCAATTCGCATATGTAATAATTACCATAGACATCCCTCTTAGCTAGCGGAGTAATTGATAGCAGAGTAACCGACAATAATGCGCAGGTGCTCCTCATCCCTCGTCTCATTCTCCACGCTTACGCTTCTCCTCCGTGTTGTCCGGAGGAAACGACGAGGTAACGCACGGAAAGTACTTGGTAATTGATACAGAGTGAATATGGAACGACTGGCAACATCGTGCAATGAGGCGTCATCTCGCTTAAATAATAGGAAGCTTCGTCTTTCCAGTAACTGATATGGATGACTGACATGCGCTAGGACAAACGCTGGTTCTCGCACGAGCTCCACCGGCTTTGATGTTTTTATGCCGGCCAAGGGTTCACCAGCGAATAGCCTCTATGACCTGGATGAATGCGATGAGTTAAGTTTCTTCACGGGAGCAAAGAGATACAGCCGTTCGTTCTTGAACATTCAGCATGATCGCATCGCAGGGTGCGAGCAAAACTTGAGAGGAAAAATGGCCAGCAAGCTCAGAGAAACCAACTGCTCCCACCCTCCCTCCGTCCCACCTTCCCTTGCTCCCATCCTCCCTCGCTCCCACCTTCCCTTGTTCCCACCCTCCCTCGCTCCCACCTTCCCTTGCTCCCATCCTCCCTCGCTCCCACCTTCCCTTGTTCCCACCCTCCCTCGCTCCCACCTTCCCTCGTTCTCTCCCCCTCTCCTTGCGTTATCCTTGTACTCTTTGCTTGACAGTCCGAATACTGCATCTCAAGTGCCGATTTTTTATTGCCTCAGTTGGTCAGGTCGGGACACTGGATCTTATTAGAATCTTCTTCCAAGTATATTTCATATTTAGCTGAAGCCGCTTTATTTCTACAAATAATGGCTTTTTCTTACGAATCAATATGGAATATTCTTTATATGCTTCTCGTATATTCTCTTATATGATACGTTCATGCAAAGTTTCAGCTTTCCATGTTTCTCCGTTTGACAGAAGCAAAAAAAAATATTTGAAAACACCTACCCGCGAAAAGTGTGTTCCTAGGGCATGTATCTCCAAAGGTTTTTTTTTTACTCTCCTTCCCAATAAGTACTTGTCAGATGAATAAAAGTGAAAAAGGTTCACTACGACATCTCGATATAATTTATTCGAGGGTGAAGCATGCAGAAGGACTGATTAAAAAAATTCGAGTAACAGGAAATAACCTTTTCCCTTAAATAATGGATCATCGTTTTTAATCCCTGGAATCAATAAATCGGAGCTCAGACGTCTTCTCCATATTAGTCGGGCCACAGAGAATCTTGACGTCCTCGCCTATTCAGCGATTTTCTGCACATTTGCTCCAATGAGGTCAGGAGTTCGTCCTGAACGGAGTCCTCCTTCAGGAGAAACGAGGAAATGAGAGAAATGAGGCATCAACGGAGGAAAGAGTCGTGCATCGCGTATCGGCGAGTCCAAGCGGCCGCGATCCGTGAGAAAGTCTCCGGGTCGCTCGAGCACAGGTCTCCGATGGCTTGCTCCATGCACACCTGAGAGAATTTCCGGTAAGGACTTTGCAAAGTTATGCAATAGGTAGCACAAAAAATGTGTGGCGGAGGAATAAATTGTAGGATATGAAAAGATGACAAGAAGAGAATGAAGATGGTCCAACGATTCGGCTGCCGAATTTATTTTACCTTCGCCTTAAGCACATTCGCTCCATAGATCACAAGTTTTCCAATTTCGTAATTTGTGTTGATGACTGCGAGTGCGGTCCAAGTGCAACCTGGACTTTCTCCTGCCGTGATCCAACTGGAACTGGAGCGTGAGCCCGATCACGTTGGATTTCCACGAAAATCGACATATGCGCAGAGAAATCGATGTAAAGAAACAAATTTCTGTAAATATTGCATCTTTAGCACATATCTCGAGATACATGCTTTTGAATGCCACCAATTTTAGACGCCACGCACCCATACAGACATAATTTGCAGAACTGTTTCAGCAATAAATTTCTCCGCTAGTTAAGATACAATTTTTTTTCTCGTGTCATTTAAATTGTTAACTTGCCGCCTTTAAATTGATTCTAGGCACTACTCTCCAAATCTGAAACAATAAGTTCCACTTGACGAAACAGTTTGATCAAGTTCATTGGCTAATATCTACACCTGTTAAATTTGGAATTTAGTGTTCCAATACTTCATCCGAAAGTGCATGAACTTGCAATCCTGCAGGTCGAAGCCAGCTGCCGTCTATTTGCACTGGGAATCTTCCAACATCAATATCGGCGAGGCTAATTCTCACATATTAATGGAGAAGACTTGAAAAAAATCTGTAATTTTCCTGGGAAGTGCCAGCTGGAAGCTATATTATTGGGACGTATTAGCCAATCCTTTAAGAAGTGATAAGTGAGCCAAACCAAAAGTTACACGGATTAAAATGAAGTTCATAGGAGTACATAGTATTTTTCCTATGTAGAAAATGCAAAAAAAAAACAAATCGTCAAGAGAACCAGTTTCCAAGTTATTGATCATCTTCAAGTTTCCTCGTAAAATGGACGGAAAATTCTAATCAATTGCATTATGCTCAAAATGCACTCACGTTGCAAAGCGGAAAGGTTAAGACGCTCTGAATGCTGACAAGCATTTTGCAGATAGACCAAGAGGGCTTCCATTCTCCCCGGAGGAAGTCGATCCCGATGTCCCCATGTCGACTCACGTTCGGGTGGAAGACCTTGGTGAGAAACCTCACCAGCGGCTGTTTGAAGGGGTAATTAATGGGAAACCAGAGGGACAAGTAGAAACGACCTCCCTCGTATGGACTTCCATAGGGACCGACGATGGATGCCTGCCAGTGCTGAAGGGAAGAGTCCAGAGGTTGTGCCTGAATGCCCTCAGAGGGATCCTCGGAAAGGTTTCGGAACTCTTTTTGCAAGCGTTTTTGATGGGGAGGTGTTTCCGAATTCTCGGGAACCTCAGAGGTCCCCAGCCACGACTCATCCCAAGAATGCTGCTGCACATTTTGGTACAGGCAATAAATGCAAGGAGCACTATGGAAAAGGTTGGTGTAGACGCGCCGCCAAGGGAAGTCCTGCTTTTGACACGTGGGCATCGTTCCACAAGGGCTCCGCTGAGGCGATGGGCGAAATAGCGGCCAGCGGTCGTGTGTGTTCCTGTGCCATTCACACATCCAAGCCGCGTCGGAGAGGATGTTCGACCACCGCCTGCACACGAGCGAGGCACAGGCGAGGGAAACGTCATCCAGATGGGAGAAGACTTTACCAAGCAGCTCATCGGAAAGGAAGTTGATGGGAAACGGGGGAATGTGGCCTTTACTAAAAAAAAAAACACGCTATACAAAATACACTTAACAAAATGAATATTCAAGTCATTCACTATTTTCACGAAAAAGTGGAAATTCATTCTTAGTTCTAATCGATCTCAAAGATGCGACAGGGCAGAACGCTAATCTTTCATCTTTGGACATTCACATGATCACTCCAGCTAGTAATTATTAAGGAAATGCAGTAAAAATGAGAACGCGGTTCTCTTACTTAATGGTAACGGTTTGGATAGGGAAACATTTTTGGTGCAACTTTTACGGGACCATTTTCGTGGATCAGGCCCACACACTTTTGATGCCTGGAGCTGCCAGGATCTCAGGGTTTTCATATGACATATATTCCATGCCATGATCATGGACATTCTCATGATCGCTCCCACGAGTAACTTTTCAACTTCATAACCCATTCCTTTACGTAACCCTCTTGACTGCCTTAACTAATTGCATCGAGCCCATGGACATTTTCATTTTCCTAATCCATGTCTATTTTATGGCATTTGTTAGAAGCGGCGATGGGCATATTTTATTTCACATGGTATGATTGAGCTATTCCCAAAAATTAGGATCACGATTGGTCGGAGCAAGTTTTGTCTCATGAGAATTAATTAAGCCATGAGCTTACGTCACCCGAATTTAGATATTTAATTCGATAAAAATGCGGAAAGTATGCTCATATTTCTACTTCCTATGACTTGAGATACCTTCTGGCAAGAGCATTGAACCGGGAGCAAGACGCTGCCTCTGTTGAATGGAGGAAGGTGTGGCAGGTGGAGCACCCCGTCGCACCGAAGTTCGGCCCCGACGCTTCATGGCAGATGCAGGCTTCTTCCTCGGCCCCGTGCCGGAACTTCTCCCAATTTCCAATGTGATGTCGAAAATCCGCTTCCATCCCGCTGCAGAAAACGAAAGGAATACTTGCGATTTTTAATTTTTTTTTTTTTTTGGGGGGGGGAAAGGCTGCGGACAAATTTACAAAGTCACTCTGACCGATCGGAGATGGGAAGAAGAATGCATAATGCATCAGCAACTTACCCCAAGAATGCTCTCCCTCACTCAGCAGACCCTAAGATTGAATGCAACGATTAAACGCCCGTGTAAGTACTAGCGCAGAGAACCGACAATTTTTCATGAAACACAAAACTGAGGACGAAGAGGAGAGGGGATCCCTGAAGCGCCCCCAGCCTTTAGACCCGCTTTCGTCACGGAACCAAAAGTGATGGTATTAATGACTGGAATGGAACCGATAGCTGAGGGAATCGCATTTCTCCCGTATGTCGCAGAAGGAGGGTTGAAAAGGCAATACGAATTATTGCAAGTACAGTAAAACCTCGCTAGTCCGGACTAATTGGGGGGAGGGGAAGTCCGGATTAGCCGAAAGTCCGGATTAGCCGAAAGTCCGGATTAGCCGAAAGTCCGGACAATCCGAAAGATGTAGAAAAAATCGTATTACACATGTAAACGAAGCATAATCAACCGATAAATCCAAAACAGTACTTTAGAGTATATTAACTTTGTAAATGATTAATAAATTTAAAAAGTAAAATCTAAACTTTATTATCTTAAAAGAGGTTTTGAGGACCACGTATTGTACAAAGGTTACTCGTACACAGCCTGACTTTTACGTCTACGCCAAGCCGGACCTAGTCTGGATTAACCCAAGCCAGCCTCGGATTAATCGAAGTTCGAGCCTGGGTTAGCAAGGTGTCAAAGTAATGGCTTCTCGGTTGAAAAATTGCAACGTCTCTGGAGAGCAACTATTTTTTCCGTGGAAACTGTAAAGTTACTCGCAATTCTCAGGCTATATCGGCATTTCTTTTTTCGCCGTGCATTGTTGGGTTACATCAGTGCAGAGTGAATAAATTCGGAATAACCATTACCAGTTGTATAATTATTAAGTGAAACAAAAGACAGCTCTGGTATAACTTGCAGTCTACTGCCTCCAGAAAAAAAATTTCCCATATTTTTCCCTTCCCCTCCCTCCTTCCATAGAAATCATGCTATGGTCGTCATCTGTGAATATCCTGAAGCATGGGAAAGGATGTCAGACGAGCCTTCTTTACTCTCTGTGAGAGGAAAGGAGGCATGCTTACAATAGAGGATATGCTTATTTAAAAAAAAAGGTTTGTTTACCTATTTCCAAGCCGAGGTGAAGTCACCGGTGCGCACGGGGCCGCAGGGAAAAACACAAGTGCATTCGGATTTTTCCTGGTCTGAGACCGGTTTCCTGTTTGAGTTGTTGCCATGCCTAAAGGATGATAATTCATATCTTATCTCATTTCCTCTCCCAAGGACAAAAAAAAATTAATTTTCCTTATCGAATCAACTGAGATGCTTCGAGTTCGAAACGGTGTTGGAATCATGAGTCACGTCGTTAAAATTTGACGGAAATTTGTTTTTCTCCCAAATTCCCTTCGGATTTTCGCTCTAAAAGTTAGATCCATTTTTTGAGACGTCACTATAACTAAAAGCTATGGAAGTCAGTTCATGATAATGATTTCGTCTTTTGGCATGAAAACCTGCTAAAGAATCATATACAGCTAAAATTGAGAACGAAAAATTCGTCATTGCCTGAAATGGAGTGAAATCTATTCTAAGAATGAAACATATAAAAAAAAAACGTTCGAACGGCGTTTAATATTCAAAAATAAACAAATAGCAAAGGATCTACAGTAATGTAAGAAGAGCCCGGTTGGGGGGGGGGGGGGGGGGTATTGTCTTGGGAGGAGGGGGACTCCTTGGAGGTAGAGTCTGGAGCGCGTATGTTCCCAGGTATGTCTATGCTGTCTATACTGTGAGATTGACCCTCCCCCCCCACCCCTTCCTTCCCTTCCCATAGACGCTTTCCTGCCACAATGCATTGCTCAATGACTTTGCGAATGAGGATCCCCTTCTCCAATCCTCGTAAAACCAAACTCCATGTACTTGTCATTCTACTGTGCGATGTCGACTTTCGTGCCTTTGCTTTCTCCTTTAAATTCGTCAAGTCCGGGAGCACCAAGAATTTTCCATGTTTCATCTTCCTCTCATGTACCTTTTTCTCTTCAAAAATCTGTGCCCGATTGAAAAAAACTCACCCAGACGCAATACTGGCCATGAGAACGGTTTGCTGCATTATATTAATCCACTTGACATCGTGGATGAATGTAGTGATGTGAGGGATTGGGATGGGTGGATTAACGGATTAAAACTTCCGCCTTAATTGTGTATATATGGACCTGAAAATATTAACTAATTGTCCTTGCTCGCTCTCAAAATCTGACGCCTTGCATTTGAAAAACACCGCTCAGGAGCAAACAAAAAAAAAAACACGAGAAACAAAAAATTTGAAAACGCCGGTTATTATGTCAAGAGTATCACAGCAACATAGGAGGTTTCACACGGATACAAATTTCCTGAGACAAACGGAAGCAGCTTCAGCCTTCGCCTCTTTCTTGCTTCTGCTTGGTTTGTCCGGTTTGCACGGCATCCCGTTCACCATGACCTGGGGTGTTTATTTATGACTGTCATGACGTCGTGGTAGGGGCATGTTTGAGCGAAATTGGAAATATCGTCGCTTCTTACCGTCGCGAGGAACCTTTTATTGTGCGGTTCACCGCTTTCCTCCATGTCGATATATTCTGGACTTTTCCACGAGTTCTTCTCGCAGAGTTCCTTCAATGCCTGGACTGGGTTCTTCTCTGGATTAAGATTTGTCTTCTCAGGATTAAGATTTGTCTTCTCTGGATTAAGATTTGTCTTCTCAGGATTAAGATTTGTCTTCTCAGGATGAAGATTTGTCTTGTCTGGGAAAATATATGTTTCGTCTGAGTAAAAGCAATATTAATGAGATATCCTATCGCTCCAAGACCTGAGAAGCCTCGCTAGTCAGAAAAGCCATTTCTAAATATTTCCATGTGAGGTAAAATCTTGTCCTATCGTGAAGGAAACAATTCAACCTGGCTTTTCCACTTCATAGCAATGAGAGAAACGGAAAATAATGAGACCAAGCAAAGCGATATTGCGACCAATGGATTTCCTCGGGCCTTCGATACATTATCGAAAATCAAGCCTCACCCATACTTACGATGGTTGGCATGGTGTAAGGTAAAGGGCAGAGGAGCTGCGCTTCTCGAAGCCTCCTGACCCATTTACAGGTTGACTCAAATTGTCAACTCCCCGCCTTATTCGATCACGTTGGAGATTTCAGACCGATTTCATATTTCATATAAAGTTAAGAGGAGCCTCCAGAGTATATTTTTAAACCTAATTTTCCGAATGTATAAAGCTCGTGTCTCTTCTATTCGAAGTCCCCCCCCCCCCCAACGCGCCCACAGAAATGACTGGAAGCCCCGGTGCTCTCATCGCGCTAGTTTTCCCACGTGGTTCCCACTCGGTCTCCAAGTGATTCTCGCCACGCTTTCGTCGATGGGCCCTTCATCAAACATTCCATTGACTTGAATGGACGTCTTCCATCTTACACGTCTCCCTCGCGCTTTTTTCGTTCCTTCCTTGTTCTTTCATCCCACTGTCTATTTCGAGAGGAAAATTTACAGATGATTCTATCGTGCCTGCAAACGTCGCAGGCCATTCATTCATGGCGACGTCCTCATCGCATTTGGGGAAGAACTGGCAAAATAGAGTTCACCAGTTAGTTACCCCTGACCAATGCAGGAAAAGGGCCGAGACTTCTTAGGGTGAGACTCCAGAGTCCTTATCCATTGGCAGAGGCTTAACGATCAAGCCCACCGGAGGATTATCCATGGTCATATGATGTCATTATTCACGTAAGAGAGTCCACGCTAATGCCTTAGCACATCCTTAAAGGAAACGAACCACTCAGATCGCCACTACATTAAGGGAAATAAATATGGGAAAGGAAAATTGCTGAACCAAATCGGAGATTCAGAAGGAGCGGACACCTTGGATATTATTTTCCGTATTTCCCTTCTCCCCAAGATCGGAGAAATAAAAGAATACCATTAGGTTTTGCATGCCGTAACGGAGAACTGAAGCACCAAAAATGAAAAAGTAACTCACCGAGAAGTAATGGCAAAAGCAAGGCTAGACCCACAGAGATGACAAGTGCACACGGTAAGAGCAATACTTTCCATCGCAGGGTTGCTGGCCCTTCACGAGTGGCGTCCAACGAGGCGGTCCGGGATCGGGTCGCTGTGCGCCAGGTCAGGGCAACAGAGAGGGGGAGAGAGACGAGAATCCGTTTCATTTTCACATTTCATCATTGAGTCGGGCTTTCATGACAATTACGAAATAAGGCACTCAGCGTTGCCATTCTTGTACCCTTGGAAATTGGAGAGAAAATTGATGTTTGAGAATCCGGCTTGGTTATCCATTGCTTCAAGTTTCTCATGCAATAGGGAACAATTTGAGAGGAACTTCTCTTCCGCGTAAAAAAAAAAAAAAAAAAAAAAACAGAAACCCGTCTAATCGTGATTCAATCACATATCCTCATATTGTAGGATGAAATATTTGAACTGTTCATGGGCAAGTTCAAAAGATGATGAAAAGAAGTCCCTGCGTTTGTCATAGATGCGTGGCACTAACTTAGAAGCAGATTTTGTAAATATGAATTCCGATAATGAAACTTGGACATTTTTATATTCATGAGTCATTTCCAGGATTTCTTCACGTTTCTATTTCTCGTGAATGATGAAACCGAAGAATGTTTCGGTTACTATCATCTGCTCACCTGTGCACATCTGCCACGGGTCAGTGCTTGGAATTTTCGGTTTAAATTATGAATAATGTATGCCTGCCCTTTCCGAGAGCATCATCTTTTCATCTTAGGCGTATTTCCTAATGCCAAAACGACTCGTATAGTTGGATTGAATGAAAAATACAACGTCGTTCGTTATTGATGTCTAAATTTTCTCGCATTGTAGTTTCTATTCTGTAGGACTCGTTCAAGCAGAAGGAAAAAAAAAAGCTGGCGAAGACTTTCGGACATGCTTCCTAAACAGTTCTACTCTATGAAAGAGTTTCAGTTTGAGTTCAAGTGGGAAAAAGAAACTGTTAAATGGGTCCTCCAGAGATTCTGCACCCATAACATCTATTAAATGAACATTATTCCACTTACGTCATACATTATCCAGGTAAAACCCTTAGAAGAGTAGGCAAGTAAACTGTGAAAAAATAACGAAATAAAACCAAGCAGCTCTCAAATGCACGTGAACTCTTGAAAGGCAAAATTTATTAACAAGTTGCGCAAGCCTAGTCCAGTACTGGTCCTCCTTTCAGTTAAGGAAACCCTCATTTTGTCGCCTAATTACACAAAATGATATCTCTTTCCGGTCTTCGACCATTAAAATCCTAATGTCTCATTTGTATTTGGCAAAAATAGACAAACGGTGCCCATGAAACGATTGACGGCTGTGCGTGGTTGGATCCAACCGCCACGAAGGTTGGTAGGGAACTGACAGCTCTGGATGCTGAGACGGCGCCGCGCTCAAAGCCTGGGTTGTACGCGCATGCGCATTGTGATATACATCCTGAAGAGCTCATAGGTACTCATGGCTCCGTTGGCAAATTTCAAATCCAAAATTTGCAATAAATATGCCAATATTGGTGAAAATTCACTACAAAACGAACTCAGCCAGTACATTGTTTATTTCTACCCGCTTACCAATTTTCGCATTGATCAGACCAAATTTTTTTTTTATTATCGTCGGACAACCGAAGTGTGACACGCGGACTCACTGACACGCGGACACACTGACACACGGACGGACAGGATGGGTCAATAAGTGGTATTTTCCGTTCATGAAAGGAGGCCCACTAAAAACCTGCTGGAAATCGATCTAAACTACCTTTCTGACCTTAAGCCCCACTTGGATTCGTCAGAATTATTCGCTATTTTAAAGTTCCGAATGTAATTAGCACTTTAACGAGGTTAGTCTACTACTGCCATACCCTGATGCATCCTGCTGGCAAGTTGCAAATGCTGATGTCGCCTGAGGCATTCGAGGAACGTGGGGAAGGCATGGTCCCCCCGACTGGGCAGGGCCTTCCGCAGGAGGAGCAGCTTCGCCTTGGTGGGTTGGGCGATCACCTCGATGTATTCGTCATGCTCGATGATGCCCTCTGCGTTCAGGTCTTCCAGGATGGCATCTACGTCGATATGCTTGAGATCGTCTGCGTGCTTGGCGATGGCGTCGGCAACAGCTTGCATGATTGCTGCACGACATCAACCCTGTCAGAACGTGGATAACAGAAAAAGACAAGCATGTTTAGCCGGAAACGATCTCCACCGTCAGTCGAAGATAAGTTGTTCCTCGGGATGACGCCTTCTGCGATTAGGTCATATAATTACATTTTGGCATTAACATGAACTATATTTTACTAATGGAAAGACGCTAAGAACGTGCTTAGATCGGCGACACTGTCCACTCACCTGTTGCTGAGTGTTGCAGCTGGTTCTCGCATTCGCTCATCACGGCTGTCGCGTTTCCGAGGAAAACGGGAAATTCCTTTTATGGGCTCATGGGAATATCAGACCGATTAGATAAGACCGTCTTGCAACTATCAATGTAAGTAAGGTTCTCCTCATACATGTTTATGTTCTATTCGGGAGCCGTAACAGTCATCATTCTCATTCTCGCACCTAAATAAATAACTTTTTTCTAATTTTATGTAAATCTCATTTCCTGGACATACTTTTCGGTCAGGGGAGTTTTTCTGTGGAGTATTTGGAGACATGCTCATGAGCCAACGCAGGCAATCCATGGATACTCTAATTTTTCTTCAAGGAATTTTTCAAGGAGCGTTTCAGTTCCATCACAGCAGCAAGATTCCAAAAAGAGAGCACAGTCCTCCAGATGGGAGCCTCACAAACCGCATATAACATCAGATGAAGATGGACTGAAGCCATTCTGCTGTCGGTGGCTTCGAGAAAAGTAACTTGAGTGGTTTCGTCCAAGCTCTCTTGTCAATGCGTTCCTTTAACCTCCAGGTACCGGATGCATCAAACTGATTAACTGCTGGGGCAGAATGAATGCATCCGCTTGATATGTTTCTTCTGCAGCCGAACGTTGGGCGCAGCTGCCAGTGGTCAAAACCAGACCTTGACCGACGGTTGAAGACCAGCAAAGAGTCGTTTAATCGTTTGATAGATTTTCAAATTTTCAGTCGGGCTCAACCACTGGAGTTCTTATAGGACTTTCAGTAATGCATAGAATTAAACCTTTCAGGTTTTTTTTCTGAAGATGTGCGCCAGCTTTATATCCAAAGCTACGTTTGCAGAGAAATTCAAATAGAAAGAAGCAGGATGTACCGGTAGGAAAATGCTCCTGAAAGGATTAAAAAAAAAACATGTAATGTATTCAACGACACGTCTTGGAAGGTGTCTCGAAATGTGCCTTATCTCTGGTAGTGCGCATCTTTTCCTTTGTTTTGCGTAGGAATAGATCAAGCTTCTTCGGGAATGGTACAAGGGGAAATGAGCGCGTTCTAGGGGAAGAGTTGGCGAAACGGAAAGCCGTTGAAAAATGGATTTCGTATTGCCTCATAGACTCATAATGCGTGCTGAAGAAGGCCGCATGGGCTCTGCGTCCCTTCGCTATCACGCATCTGCATAAAACAGGATTCTCTGACTTCGATAATAGTTTTAAATAAAAAAAACAGCAACAACAAGCAGTACTCGCGGCTGCAAGAGTCAAGAGGAAGGATTTCTCCCAGAATGGAATATCTCCGCAAAGTGCCCCAAACGCATTAAGTCTCACTAGCTCAGAATGAAGCAAGTGCTGCAGCAAAAAAAAATTGTTTTCTAGAATAGAATTAATTTATAGATTAGAATTAAGACCGCTTCTCAAAGTCAACCAAGAGAAACAACTTGCTTTAGTATTTATTAAACATATATCAATATTCATTTCCTAAATTCTAGAAGCTCCTCCCTCCTCCTTTCACTTTTAGCACCTGATGGACAGAAAGATATGCTGACGATTCAGTACTTGGTTTTGTGCAATTCGCTTTCACTTAATCTGTCAGACCCAGTCAATACATTTGGCCACCAGGCACGTTTCCAGCAACAGTTCCGGACATTTGGAACATTTCTTTCATCGTTTC